TAATATAAAGTAATTTTGTAAGACTTTTTAAATTTAACTCAATTTCAATGATACTGAATTTTAAAAAACACAACCTGTATTCTCATTAACTAACATTAAGAAAGATTAATAAATACTGTAATAAATGTATTGTTAATTGTTCGTTCATGATAGTTAATACATTAACTAATGGAAACTTATTGAAAAGTGTTACCTTAATATTAAATATCAACATATTATTTTTATTCACTTTGTAACAGAATCAGATATGCATAGAAATTTCCTGTCAGCGCGTTATTTGAGCGAACTTTGCTTTTCCGGTGAGCATGAGCGGTACATGAGCGGGAACACACATTCATAGAGCGGAATATTGAGCGGAGCGTCAAACCACCGCGATGCCGCCCTCTTTATTTTACTAACTTACTGCATGCTGAAGGTGAACACCAGCATCTAGTGGATTGTAAAGAAATTGACTTTATTATTCTACCAAATAGTATAATAAAAGAAGGTGAACACCAGCATCTAGTGGATTGTAAAGAAATTGACTTTATTATTCTACCAAATAGTATAATAAAAAATCGATACTTGGCGTCCGTGTATCGATACAGTATTGCTGCGGAAAATATTGCAATACTATGCTGTATCGATTTTTTCCCCCACCCCTAGTGTGCACGTGCCTGCCTGTTGTGATGGGAGATCATAAATTACTCCTCCTCATTATTAGCTCAGAAGTTTAGGAACAGTTCAGCCAAAAATAAGAATCTTTTTGAAATTTAACCTTGGCACATTTTGGTTATGAGACATGCGAGAACCAATGAAAACAAAAGTTAATTTTGTTCCTCAAGCCAAATTGCAACAGAACCACTGTATGATTTCAGAAGACTTTGAATACACCACACATATGGACCACTATTATGGAGCTTTTTTCAAGGGTTTGGAACGTCATGACGATAAGTAAATGAGGACAGATTTTTCAACTGTTCATTGAACCACTAGACTACCAGCACTAGATCTCTAACATGCATTACCTTTCATATATAACAGATGAAAACGGGCCTCTAAAGCGGACCACCCACAAGCAATAAAACAGTAGAAATCTGCTGCAAACACTCGCATAAATCAAAATATGTGCTTCATTTGGTTAAGAAACTGATTTGTGAGAACGGGGTGAATAATTTAATTTCACTTTGGCACCTCATTATAAATGCTTCCTTCTTCAAATTGAGATCTGTGCTGACACCGAGCCTGACGTCCGTGACATCTGCAGACAGAATCCGTGCGCTCCCTGACAAAAGCCAATTAAAGCAAGTTTTTGTGCAACGCAGGGGCTTTTGTTTAGAGACGGTGTCAAGAGCATCTGCTAGTTACAGGGGCATCTGATTTTGACAATTTGCTCAAATCCAACCATGGCAGCTTTTTGCTTCCTTTAAACTGTTTGTGATGCTTTTATTCTCCAAACAAAACATCAGCAAGACAAGATGTGTCAGTCTAATGGAGACTCGTGACTCATTGGGGTATTTTTGAACATGTGGAATGGAACTAATTCCTCTGATATATTTTTTTTCTAACTCTGCGTTTCTAAATTGCTGGGCTGACAATCAAGCCCTTGCCATAAAAAGTGAGTCACAAAGGAGGAACAGCCAATCAGACTCTGATTTCTCAGCTGGAGGTTGAATATAATTAAAAAGTATGATGGACAAAAGACACAAAGTGAGAACTTTCTCCGTACTTTCGAATCTCTTGGCCACATCAGCATGACTGAGGGAGTGTAAGAGAGCTCTACTCACTGCAATACTGTGATTGAACCCCGAGCCCGGCTGGGGGCTGGCAGCACTGATGTAATTTCCCACAGCGGAGTCCTGACTGCTGGGGCCATACAAGTCTGCCACGGGTCCAGGACTGTTTGCAACGGGGAAACCTCCAGGCCGTGGAGGATTAGCACCTGTACAAGACACAGCAGATTTCTGATCAATCATATTTCAGTCACTAACATGGCCACTAAGATGGCAGAGAGACAGAATTGGACAGAATATGTACACTACTGTTCAAAAGTTTAGGGACAGTAAGATTTTTTTATTCAAATAATGTATTAGATAAATTATATATTTTTTATTTCACATATACATAATATATTTATATATATATATATATATTAAGAAATTTATATTTTACTCCGCAAGAACACATGAAATTGATCAAAAGTGACGATGTTACAAACGATTTCTAATAAATGCTGTACTTTTCAACTTTCTATTGATCAAAGAATAAGTATCCACAAAAATATTAAGCAGCACAACTGTTTTCAACATTGATAATAATAAGAAATGCTTCTTGAGCAGCAAATCAGCTTATTAGAATGATTTTTAAAGAATCGTGAGATTGAAGACTGAATTAATGACTGAATTAGTTATTAAAAATAAATTAGAACAGTTATTTCAAATTGTAATAGTATTTCACAACATTAATGTTTCTACTGTATTTTTGATCAAATAAATGCAACCTTGGTGAGCATAAGAGACTTCTTTCAAAACATAAAAAAACAAACAAAAAAAAAATCTCACTGACCCCAAACTTTTCAACGGTAATGCATGACACGTCACTTGCCTAGTACTGTTCTGTATAATATTCATTATTAAATACATAAAAAAAAAAAACATGCAGGTGAACGTGTTAAAAAGCTAAATAACATTGTCATCCAACCACATGCTGCGCTGTGCATTAAGCAGGTCTGATCGAAGGACAGGGCAGGGAGAAATGCAGGCTTTCCTGCTGTGCTGAGCGCGCTGTGAGCTGAGATTTCAAGTGAGCGTGAACACGCATGTAAAGATTGAGCTTCCTTTGTGACTGCTCATTCCTCTCATCTCCCTTCACAGTGACAGAATACAGCTGGAGCTGGAGAAACCCCCAACATCACTGACTGCAGTCACCACAGGTATAAACCAGATGGAGGAGAGAATGCGTATTATGTACAAAGTGAGGTAATGAGGTCACACTGTATTGACCTTTATATTACTTACTATATGTCTTATTTACTAAACCCCCTCATAAACCCCCATAATGTTACTATCAAAGATGGTCTGACTACAGAAAACTCAGAAACATGTTAAGTAGATCACAAAATTAAAATTATGTCGTAATTGTCACACACTGGTTGTCATCCAAAATAAGTGATTATTTAGAGGAACCAATATGACGGTTTGATTCAATAAGTTTACTGAAAACTAAAATGGGAATAGATCCATTAGAGTCATGCTAGAAAAAAAACTTTTTGCAATTAAATAATGTAATAACAGTAGGGATATGCCGGTATCAAATTTTCATGTTGCGATTAAGGTGTTGTGCATTTTGACCAGTTGATGGGAAAAGTATTCTTAAAATGCATTCAAAACTCTGAATAATTTGTAATATATAATTATTCACGGTATTTAGAAGTGCCCACGATAACAATATCGTGCATATTAATTACCGTGATATATGCATTACCGAATACCGGCAGAAGTCTAAATAACAGTCTAAAATACTCAAATAAAAAAAACACACACATATATATACGTTCATAAAGTATTTATTCATATATTTAAGTATATATAGAAATAAATATTTCGTTTAGCAGTATTTTTATTTAACACTGGTTTTAAATAAATGATGACAGACAGCATTAACTAATTCTCCGCCTGCCTATGGACGTGCTTCCCCTGTCTTATCTGAGTGCTACGGCTTTCCTTGCTTTCACAGTCATTTTATGCGTGTACTGTAATCTTTATTCCATATAATTGCTGGATTCTGTAAAGGTGAGTGCCGTGTTTTCTCTCGCTTTGCCAGGAATAGGATTTATGTTCTAAATTAAACCCTGGGGCTAAACTGTTACTGCTATTAGCTTTAATAGCTAAACATGACTTACATTTATTGGCTTTGACTGGTAGCTTAGCAGCACCCATGCTAATTAAACCCACCGGCCTGTGATTACGCAGTGTTTCTGAGACACAGGTGACTCATCTGTCCCGCTCCGGCTCCCAGCGTTGGGGTTTTAATTGATGTCACCCTGCGCATCCTTTGGCGGGATAACAAAGTGTTTTTGCTGAGCAGGGACAGCCATAGAAATGTAAATATTCTCTAACACAAAGCTACACACCAATGGCATCAGTATTGACCCCTGAAAAACCCACAATGCATCGACTGTGTCCAAGTTGCCACAGCAACAAGCATACAAGAGACATTTGGACAGACCTTCATATCAGGTAGCACGCCTGTATTTAATAGATCTCTCAAAACGCTCTAAACACATACTGAAAGCAATATTAAGGTCCTAATGCAGCAGCAAATTCAGGGTTTCTGCAGACATGAACAAGTTAAATTTAAGACTTTTTAAGACCTATTTAATACCACCTTATATGAAATTTAAGACCTAAACCTGTAATGGAAATACACATTTTATTACATACATATGTACTATTTAATGTGTATAAATTAAAAAGAAAACAAAATATCATTGCTGTAATAAATGGTATTTATAACTACGATATACTGCGAGCTTTTAATGTCAGCAGACAATATTCCATACAAAATATCCCTGCAAAATAACTGCATCACTGAGATTTTTGGTGGAGTAAACAATTTATTCTGAAGCAATATTTTCATCAGTGTTCTATCAGCTTTTACATACTTAAATCTGCATATTTACCTTTACAAAGGCCTATTTTTAACCTTTTTAGATGTATGCATCATCTTACATGTCAAATTATTACAATTTATCAATAAATTCAATATACACCATTGTATGTTTGTTTTTTTTTGCGTCGTGAGAAAATTGAGCAAAATAGCTCACTTGTCATGGTGTTATTTAACTATACCATGTTATGAATAAACTAAACATTTTGAATTTTTACCTTAGTGTGTTTCTTCTGAGTTTATGCGGTCACGCTCATTCATTTGTTATGAAGGATCCAAACAAA